CCCAGCTGCCCAAGACCCCCTACCTCCCAGCCCCCACCGGCCCGGTGCCCCAATTGCTGATGCTCCAACATGGGGCCCATCCTCAGGATCCCCCTCCCCCGCAGGACAGCCTTTGACCGCAATCCGGGGTGCAGCCTCCCCGCCACACTCACTCACCCACGTGACCAGGGGACCCACAATGAAGTCCCCCAGGGTCTCAGGGGCCTCGCCCTCCTCTTCCTCCATCCTCCCTCGGGGACCGGCTCCGCTAGCACCCAGGGGACCCGGGCGTCCGGGCGCTTCCGCCGCCCCCCCACGCACTCAACCGCGCAAAGAGGAACTTCCGCAAGGTGTGGGGTGAGGTGGGGGGGGCAGGAAACCAGCAACACCTCCCCCGGGGTGACGCAGCAGGTGCGGGGGAGGGGGGCCACCCAATGGATGCATCTACCCCGGCATCCAGTCTGCTCAGGATCAGGCCGCCTGGGCCCATCTGGTCCAGGGTCCGGCCCCCACCACCATGGGACCCGTTTCCACCCCCAACCCTGCCTCTGACTGATCCAATCCCAACCTGGGGGGGTCTGGACAGTGCCCAGCACTCCCCCCACCCCATTCCAGCCTGGGGGGTCTGGACAGCACGCCCCTGATCCTGGCCTGGGGGGTCTGGACAGCACCTGGTACCCCCTAAGCCCAGCTTGGCTCGATCCAGAGCCCCCTATCCCACCACAGCCCTATACCCCCATCTCTGGGCACGGCCCCCAATCATGCACACACAGGTTGAGCTGAACAGAGCCATTTATTCCAGCAAAGTGGGGGTGCAGGAGGCGGGGCCTCAGCAGCAGGGGCAGGGCCAGAGCTTTGGGGGTGGAGCCTGTGCACCCCCTACAGGCCCAAATCAGGAGCTGCAGCAGCAAGATGTGCCCCTACCCCTTGTCTCAATGGGGCTCTTGGGTCGAAGCTGGGAGTATGGGGTGGGGGGCCCAGATGCCTGGGTCCCTCACAGCTGGGAGAGGAGGTTGCTAGCCAGGCTGCAGGTGAGTCCGGTGCCATCAGCTTCCACGTTGAGGACTTTCACCACCCCGTCTTCCACCACCATCGAGAATCTATGGGGATATTGGGAGGTCAGGGCTGAGGGGGGTTCCCCAGACTGGGTCGAAGCTGGGAGTATGGGGTGGGGGGCCCAGATGCCTGGGTCCCTCACAGCTGGGAGAGGAGGTTGCTAGCCAGGCTGCAGGTGAGTCCGGTGCCATCAGCTTCCACGTTGAGGACTTTCACCACCCCGTCTTCCACCACCATCGAGAATCTATGGGGATATTGGGAGGTCAGGGCTGAGGGGGGTTCCCCAGACCCTTCCCCAACCCCCCCAAGCACCCCCACCTCCCAAAGATCCCCTAAACCTTCAACAACCCCCTTAACCCCCCCTGCTATTGGGAACCCC